CTCACCCTTTGCACCATCTCTACCGTCACGGCCTGGTAACCCATTATGTCCATTCACACCATTTCGTCCGGGAAGTCCAGTTGCTCCTTGCGCGCACAAACTGGGATTCTGTGAAATAAATAACTTGTAAGACTAAACGAAAGCAAAACATAGCCTAGATATTGCGCGGCACTCGACATATGAGAATGTGTTTAAAAAGTATGGTTATCTAATCTTAAATAACTAATTAACGTGCATGTATTGAATAAAAATCACGCAACTCCCTCTAGTTTCTTTCTTGCGTCTTATGTGGTTTTCTGTTCCAGGATGGCCCCTAGGAATGTATATAAAATACCCAGCCAGCAGTGAAAAAAAAAAGTGTCGCGAAAGTTGTATTTAGATAAAAAAAAAAGTTAGGGGAAACAAGTCGCATCCATCCATAACCAAGAAAACAAGTTAAACACTTATAAGTTTACGTCAGTGGTTGACCTTGTTTCAAAGAACGCGGAAAAAGAGTCACAATCCGAAATGGAAAAAGTCTCACTTTTTCCTAAGTTAGGTAAAAATAAAAATAAAGAATAAATGAATAAAACGAAAAAATAAAAAGAAGATACTGAAGGTCAACGATGACACCACTCAGACCACATACGCAAAATCCACGCCCTAAGTAAACAAATAAATCTTCCTCGTTAATTAATAAATCAAGTCGAAATCGTCCAAGAATGTGTAAGTGGTTGCCCTCTTATAGTATCAAGCATTTCGTAACAAATATGTCACCAAGGTTCAGTTGCCCGCAATGCGTCGTGGAGAATATTGTGAGAAATAAGAAGGAAAACTGTGATGACATAAATTAAAGCCATCTTATAGCTGGTAATCGAAAGTCTTTCCCCTAGAAGACACAAAGATTGTCTTAATCATATTTCAAATGTAATAATTTATCGTATTATAACCCTACCTTAGCGGGGGCGACTGTGCTGACGTTTCGGATGTAAAAGAAGAAACAAAACAGCAATACCAACTTTATTACAGCCACACTGCTGGTTGCTCCAAACATTTTGGTCTTGGTTTCAGGCAAATAAAGACCAACGAAAGAGCTCAAATGAAACAACCGTTTAATCGTGTCTGGTGAGCGTGAATGGCAAACAACTCTCGAAACATCGATGACTTTACCTTTTTAATCCCCTTGAGAGTGACAAGAATGGAATGATTCTACAAAGCAAAATATTTTTCCTTATAAGGAAATGTTCATAAGAATAATTTGAGACCGCAAAAACATTTGAAAGGCAGGCTGAAGCCATAGGCATTGAGGTACCTTTTCATTATGCTTCTCAGTGAAGTGGCAAATGCCTCCACCTGGCCCAGTAAAGCTCTAATACGAAGAAGTGGACGAATGACTGTTTTACTCAGTTATCAACCTCGTCCGATCCCCAGGGGTCCCCTTTGTCATACCCCAATCCCCGTCGAAGACCAAAAGGATGGCGGCCTCTATAAACGAGATTGGTCAGTTATCCGATACCAGATAAAGATAAATTACTAATCCGTATGTTGCAGCTGAAGGTTGCTCTGATTTCCAAAACTGTACGGAAAAATAGGGGACTGTAGACAGTCTAAAGACGAGCTAAAGACAAGAATATTTGAACAACTATGGACCAGGGCATTTAAGAAACGTTTTGGAATTGCTATAATTAGGTCCAGTACAACCGACTCTGAATAAAGAATTGTCCCCGGGGGGGGGGGTACTCCCTTATATAAGCCATATAGGTATGTGCCGCCCCGTCGGGTAGGGGTTTTGCGCCGTTTTGGTCTGAAAACGGGTAAACACTTTGCCCATATTGCTCTGGAATCGGGTATTCTTTTCGAGGGAACTACGGAGTGTATGAACGTATTTATTGTTTCAATTTCAAACGAGTAAGCAAGAAAGAGAAATATGCGAATTCGAAATGGAGTTGAATAATTTTTGTTTGCGCTCTAACGGCTAAGTAATGGTAACATAATTTCTCCCATTATGGCTCTTGTTTCTGCCTAAAGGCCAGGTCTGAAAACGAGTATGGATTTTAGAGGTCTAGTCTGAAAACGGGCGTGGACAATTACATTTTTTGGTGTTAAATCGGGTAAGGATTTGAGGAACTGCGCAGCACACCCCCACCAAAAATTCCCAGGAGTACCCCCCTCCCCAGGGAATTGTCTCCTGCTCACCTTAATAAGGCCACCAAAACGGCTGTCAGCCTTTTTCGACGCGTACTGCTTCCAGTTCCTTTCTTCAGCAGCGACCTTTCCCGCTTGTAGTTATACCACGTGGTCCAGGTGGAGCTGCCACTTCTTTTTCACCCTTAGCACCGTCTCGACTATCCCGGCCGGGTAATCCATTATGTCCATTTCGTCCCGGATTACCAGGTGATCCTTGCCGCCTTGCGAGCACATACTGGTGACAGTTCTGTGCAAAAAATATGTATTTGCTTAGATCAAATACATGCAAAACAGCCTACAAATTAATAATATCTACTAGTAATAGTTGACACTACAGCTGCTCCCGCTCTATATATTGTCGGTCAATAGTATTCTTACTTGTTGTGTAGATCTTCGAAATATACCGATTCTAAAGGAAGATTTTCACACATATTCCATACAATAGGTGAGATAAATACAGGAAACGCAAGGTTCCATGCACAGTTTCAGGTCAATTTACATAGCTTTGATCAAAACATTCTCAGTTTCGAGAGTGTCTTCGAGAGTGGTTTATTCTAAACCATAAGAAAAGATTTATTTAGAAGTTGAATTTTTTCGCTATTTCTCTTTCTCTTTTTACATTCAGTTCATATTATTTGCCGGAAAGGAAGCCTTAGAAATTAAAAAATTCACACCCAGTCGCGCATTCTAGTCTTATTTTAAGCTTTATAGAGGAAGGACATCTGTGAGCAGGGAATAAGTCAGCACAGAGTTTGATCGTCGGCGAATTTCTTTAATCGTCCATCTTTCTGTTAGTGAGAAGCTAGCCGTTGTTCACTCGTCTTGCTTGTTTGGGGCTAAGTCTTATTCCGGTCAAAGAGAGAGAAAGAGTGTCTGGCAAGGTTTTCAATGAAAGATTTGTGAACTCGTGTCTGGCAAACTCTCCAAGTGTTTATATATACACAGTTATACGCACCTTGTAACTTCTTCTGCGCTTAACGAGTGTTGTTAACACTTTGTCCATAACTTTCACTGAAACAACTGCTCCACAGAATGTCACTGATAACACGTAACGCAAAAGAGTGTAGAAGTATGACTGCACAATAAATGTCACAAAATCTACCTAAGCGGTCCCTTGGGGATGTTCTGTCTTTACATCATCCTAACTACAGTCGAACCCCGCTATTTCGAAGTCCCAAGGGAAATGAAAAAAAGTTCGAAATAGCAGGGCTTCGAAATAACCGGGGAAGCGTAAAGGGGAAGGGTAAATCCGAGGGCATTCGATCTTCCTTCGAAATAGCGGGGACTTCGAATTAACCGAGTTCGAAATAGCGAGGTTCGACTGTATTTCGTACTTGCGGGCGCAAACAATAGAAACGTCATCATTACCTGCCGATTCCTCGCGGCCCCTGTCTAAGCAAATCGAGATTTTTTCTATATTGACTGTATGACTGTATATTTCAACTGTAAGTGCTTTCCTTAATATACGCGCGAGTTACTAAAGTGCCTCCTCGGGATTTCAACTTCTGGGCGAAATCCCTGCGGGGGCAATAAATAATGAATAAACAAATACAGAACGAGAAGAAGAACGAGAAAAAACGGAACAGCTGCGATGATACCACTAAGACTCCTGTGGTATGTAAAATCCAGGCGCGGAACAAACAAATAAATCTTCCATGTTTGAAAAGACTAAAACCTTGTGGAAATCTCCCAAGTCTTAATCACATTTCAAATGTAATAATTTATCGTATTTTACTTTCTACCTTAGCTGGGGCGACTTTGCTGGCGTTTCGGATGTAAACGAAGAGACAAAACAGAAAAACAGCAGCACCAACTTCATTAAAGCCACACCGCCGATTGTAGTTGGTTTCTGATACTTGCAGACCAACCGGTAAGCGCTCAAAATGAAACCTTCGTTTAACCGTGTGTGGTGAGCGTGAAAGATAAGCTCAAGAAACATCAATGACTTTACTTTTTTAACCCTCGAGATTGACAAGAATAGAATGACTCTTCAAAGCAAAATGTTTTTACTTACAAGGAAATATCCATGAAAAATAATTTGGGATCGCAAAAAACTTGTTTGGGTCAGGCTGAGACCGTACACGCTGAGGTATCTTTTTACAACACCCCGCAGTACTTAAAAGTAACACTTGAAGAAGAGTAAATGCCCGCTCCACCTTGCCCTGTTATAGCTAAAATACCAACGGGGTGTCAAATACTTTTCAGAAAATAATAGGATCAATGTAGGCTTCCGGGAAACAGTCCACCTACCCCTCCCAAGCATTTTGCCCTAAGTGAGAAGTAAGTGATAATGTTGGCTTAGGGGAGGGGTAGGTGGGCAGTGTCCGAGAAACCTAAATTGATCTAAATAATCAGAAAGGCGGACGCTCTAGCAAGATTTAACCCCGCTTTTAGCAGTCTGACTTTGGAAGTTTATTTAGAAAACGGAAAGGACCTATTTGGGACTTTGAAGTAGATCTCGGTTTAGCCCAGGATCGAACTTACAAGGTGCGCAAGCAGAAATGGAGGCAAATCTCAGGTCCCAAAGGACCTATTGGGGACCCTCAAATAGATCTCGGGTAAGCTCAGAGCCGAACGTTCGAGGTGCGCAAGCAGAGGGGGCACTGGGCTGCAAAACAGACATCGTATGCTGCAAAGACTTGATGCACTGCTGTAAAAAGAAAAAAAACATGCAGTTTGATAATCAATATTTTAATGAAAGAGTTAAGCAGAGGCTATCAGTTGCTTTGATTAAATTTCTGCCTAGAATATTTCTTTTTACCGGTTTTTGACGCCTAACATGACTCTACAAGCACTCAGCTATTGGAGAATGTTGTTGAGATACGATGGATTCGTTACTGCTGGGACCGAGGAACTTCTTCGATAATCAAACGAGACACTGACATCCATCCCGTTTGACCTTCTGAGTTTCCAAAACCGGGACAGTTTCCGATGTTTATGCCAACGCGGATATTTCCTTTTCTTATGTTGTCACAGTATCCTTCTATTGCTCCATGTCTGAAGTCATCTGTGTTTCTATTTCTGATCCACAGAGCTGCGTCAATAGGCAGAGGACCGCTGCACTCGGCGCCGTTGAAAGTGATGAACCATCGCTTACAGCACAAACTGCAACTTCCCAGATAGATATTTCCTTGGAATACAACATGAAGAGATGTATTGTCTTCAGGGGCACCCAACGAGAATATAGTTCAAAACCACTTAAACATAGCATTGTTAAACGTATTTTAGTATTTAAACGGTAGATAAAGGCATATTTTTATCCCCTAAAAATTTTTCATCTGTTCGGATTTCCTAGCTGAAAGTCTAGTGATCCGAAAATTATAGGGATCAAAACTCGCCTTTTCGAAAATTTCAGCCAGAAAAAAGGCTCCCGAAAATTCTAGGTGACCTTTTAAGGGTAAAAATCAGTTAAAAATAGGCAATTATACCATTTTTTAGATGTTCGAAAATCCTAGGAGAGGCAGGCAAGCAAGAAATTTTACAACAAATGTTCCGAAAATTCTAGATTTCAAATCGTCTTCCGAACAGATATTTTTCCGAAAATTGTCGTTGGGTGCCCCTGTGTCTTTAATTTTAGTAAACTGGCAATCCTGAAAACACAGCATTATATATTGTTAGCGACCACTGCCACACAGAACACCGTCAAATATGATTCACGTTATTATTCAAATCTTAATGTATGTTCTGTCGCAATTTTATGACTTTGTTCAGAGCGTTAATAGACCATTTGTACGATGGCGGCATTTTACCAGCTACAACTAGAATCCTTTTCGTTTTTCCTTTCATATTCAAATTTGGTAATCCCAGTGAGTTTTCAATGACAAAAGCCTAAATTTCACAAAAAAACAACCCCTGAAGGATTCTGGTCGTAGTAGTAAAATGAGGTCATCATACAAATGGTCCATTGCGGTCTTAGAGCCACCAAAATGACGCCAAGAGCGATGTGTATATTTATTTTGGCCCACATATATCACAATCGGCCAAAGAAAATGTTACTAAAATTAAATGACTGAAGAGGCCCTTGAGTTCTCTGCCCTACGATTCTTTCCGTATTTCATACATCACATGAATTCTACGGTTTCTAAAGCCACATTTACATGGTCTCGGATACCCGAGACAGCCTTACCTAACTCTCTGCTAGGCAACTGACCTCACTTCATAGTGGAAAAAAATTAGTTGACTCAAGAGAGAATGAGTTAGGTTGACTGCAGTTTATATGGTGATCGCGATCTCGTCTAGTAGAGGGGGAAGGGGTGGGGAAGGGGTAGGGAGAGGGAGGGCGGGGGTGAAGGAGAAGGCAACTTAAGGTGTAACCTGCGATCAGGCGGTCCTTCTTCCCTTTTCCTTTGGCCTCTTTGCCTGTCCGCCGACCTTCACTCTCCCCCGAAGAAGAAGAAAAAACAAAAACAAGAAAAAACCACGCCTGATCCCAGGTTACTCGAGTTGGGGTTGTCTAGTCTCAGAATAACCTTAATAAGGCCAATATCAGTTTGGTCAATCTTTTTCCACGCGCACTGTTTCCAGTATCTTTGTTCAGCAGCGACTTTTCCCTCTTCACCTTTAATACCACGTGGTCCATGGGGACCTGCCACACCCTTCTCACCCGCCTTTCCTTTGATACCACGTGGCCCTTGTGGACCTGCCACTCCCTTCTCGCCCTCAGTACCGTCCCGACCGTCGCGGCCTGGTAACCCATTATGTCCATTCAGCCCGTTTCGTCCAGGAAGCCCAGGCAATCCTTGCGCGCACAAACTGGGATTCTGTGAAATAAATAATTTGTAAGACCAAACGAAAACAAAAAATCCTAGATTTTACGCGACAGTGTTATCTAATCTAAAACGTAGTAATAGCTATTGCTAAGTGCCGACGAGCAAAGATTTTACCTATACGCACGCGCTGTTGAATTTGTTGAGAAATGTCATGAAATACAGTAATTGATGAAACATAGATTGAACTTAAAATAGTGTAAACTTAAATCAAGGGGTACTCATACACCAACCCACGGCTGGGCCAGTACCTCACGCATGCGCACAGCCATATCACGCGGGCAGTGGCAGCCCCTTATTGGGGCCCACCAGCCTGGCAAACCCGTTGGGTTAATGAACGGGGAAAACCCGCGTCTCAAAAACCCCTTACTGCCGAGGTGAGTGCAAAGCAGTCTATCAAGCGCCAGCTCCACACAACACATGTAGGAGCTGTTGGCTGGGAACCGCACAGCAGTTCTACCACGGCATGCGCGGGGAGGGTAGATCACGAGTTACCAGTAAATTTCTGCAAGAGGCACACATACACCACCCCACGGCCTGGCCATTACCTCACGCATGCGCTCAGCCCAATCTCGAGGGCAGTGGCAGCCATGGAAATGGCATATCTGTCGCTCAGTGACCGCGGAAAACACGTGGTTTTTTTTTGTTTTTCAGGCGCCTCCAGCCACGGACCCGGTAGTGCAATATTGGTGCAATGGCCGAACGACATCACGATACTTGACCGAGCCGGGGTGCAATGGCTCTGCCGAGCAACGCCTGAAGGAGGGTTCACCAGTACGCCAAAATAGCCCAGGAATTGAACCTGGCCCCCCGGAAACGTTCCCCGCCCAACGGGGCACCTGAGCAGTCTATCAAGCGCAATAGACGACTGTTTAACTGTGACAATAGACGGATCGAAACGCACCAATCACTGATTACGAGTCTTCATAGCATATAACATCACGGCTTAACTGACAGACGACCAATACCATCGCGACATAATTGACCAATCAGATCAATAACCAGAGTATAATACCACCAACTGACGTGATACAACTCACTTTGACTCTGAAGATGACTACCGCACAGGTTGTCGAAACGTCAGTCTCTGTCAACAACAACAGTCCTATTCAGTACTACGTTCACCCGGACGATCAAACTCAATCTTTTGAAATGACTCCTGGGTTCAAACCTTTCACAGTGAACTAAACTGTTCTACTACATAAAGAATTTGAAATCCCGACCTAACGCAGAAAATTTTTCGAGATACTGAAGTTCGTGTTTTTGTCCGAAGTTGGGCACAAGCCATTTTGCGTAAAATTCAGTGGCCTGGTCTTATAAGCAAACCTAAAATCCTCAAAAAATCATATTAAAGTCTGCGAATATTCAACGTACAGACTTATATTTGGTCTGTTTCAATCTAAAAAAATTTATGGTGCGCCAATGAAGCCTTCCGAATTATTTTGCTTCAAAGACACAAAATTTGCGCTGCGTTATTATTTTTCTTAGCGGCATGCAATAAAAAATTCCAGCGGGCAAATGCGACAGATATCGCGTAGGATAGAAATGATCCACCCGACGATTGGTTGAAGACGGGATGAACACGGGACTCACAAACACGCACACGGCTCGTGGATTCCCTGATTTGTATCACGTGTTCGCTCGAAAACAGTGCATTCTCTGTCCTGCATTACCTCACGGTTGCCTTACATTACTCTATGTTAGATCGATTCGAGATTTTTTCTGCCCCTGCAACAATCGTGCACGACTCTATTAGGCTGCCGCCTCGCAGACTCGCGTCTTCGCGAGGCTGCGAGGCAGCAATTATTAACGCGTATTTAATAAACACCGCACAATTCCCATTAATTAGGATGTGGCCATGGCTTTGTGTCTTGTGTCTCTCTACACCGCAGAGGTTTCCGCTGGGTATCCCAATAAAAAAAAAGCTGCAATAATCGAAAAATAGAAAGCGCGCTGAGGAAAGGGGTTTTGTGTGGTTTTCTTGTCGAATTTGGCCATTTAGAGATATGAATGAAACACCTCACCAACGGTGGAAAAGGTGTCGAAAAAGCTCACTTTCTAGACCAAAATGTTGGGGAAACAAGCCTCATCTGTTCATAACTTATTAAAAGTTTATAAATGAAGAAGCGGCGTGCATACAAAGAAAAGCAAACAGACCCAAACCTTTATGGTTGTTTCCGATGAAGTGCCAGCTTTAAGTTAGTGATTAACGTCGGGGGCACTCCCAAAAATGTCCTATACGGGGAGGCTCTGCCCGAAAGGGGTTTCAGGCTTCCGGTATATAAAAGGGTAGGGATTTCACTCACTGAAGTATACCAAAGGGGTGGGAAATCTGACATCTGGTCTGTAAAAGGCCCAACGGGTCTAAGGGATCCTACATTTTATGGCTGAAAAAAGTCTTGAAAACGTTCTGGTTTCGTGATTCATTCATATCTTGAATACATTGATTTAGAGCAGTTGTAAGGGATGCAACTTTCTAAATGAGGTTAGTGAAAAGGGGTACCATTTGTCTGATACAAATATACAAAAGGGAAACCTTTTCTGTTCAAAAATAGTATTAAAAAGGACAAGGGGTTGGACCTTGGGGCGGACCCTCCACGTATAAAACTTTTTTGAGCACCCCTCCCCCCCCCGGGCGGTGATTGACCTTGTTCCAAAAGATACGGAAAGAGGAATGACAGCCCGGAAGTTGTATTATTAAAACATGCGTAATACCAAAAAATTATGGAAGGCAATGACCACTGTGGTATGTAAAATCCACGCGCGAGATAAACACATAAGTAAGTTTTGTATTTAGGAAGACACAGTTCAAGCTAGGTGTGTCGTTAATTGACAAACCTTGTGGAAATCTTCCAAGAATGGTAAGTGGTTGCGTTCTTATCGTATTAAGCATTTTTTTAACCAAATATGTTGCCAATTGAGTTGTATGCGATGCAGTGTGAAGAAAATTGTGATAAATAAGAAGGAAGATTGTGATACCTAAATTAAAGCCATTTTAATTATTGATTATCGGAAGTCTTTAATCGTCTTCATCATATTTCGAATAAAACATTTTGTTATATTTAGTCCCTACCTTGGCTGGGGCGACTGTGCTTGCGCTTCGGATGTAACAGAAGAGACTTAACAGCAACACCAACTTCATTAAAACATCCACAACACCACCGATTGGTCCAAACATTTGGTTCTTTGTTTCGACCACTTGCAGACCAACGAACGCGCTCAAAATGAAACAGCTGATTAACCGTGTCTGGTGAGCGTGAAAGCCAAACTCTAGAAACATCAATGACTCTACCTTTTGATCCCTCAAGAATGACAAAAACAGAATGAATCTTCAAAGCAAAATATTTTTCCTTATAAGGAAATATCCATGAAAAAATAATTTAGGGCCGCAAAAAAATTGTCATGTTCAGGCTGAGATCGTAGACGGTGACGTATCTTTTTACAACGCCCTGCAGTAATTAAGGTTCCACAAAAATCCTTAAATAAAAATGATCGAGACCAGGCTCTATGAGCCCGCGAGACTGAGCAACCGACCCAAACACTTGTTTTCACTAAAACCGCTGGACGCCAACCTGGTTGAGCTCATTGTTATCTAAGGTCTTCCTGTTGTCCAGATACCACCAGGTGGTGTGTGAGCACTACGATTGCGATGCATTGTGGATTCAAAATTTTCAAGATGGCGGCGAAGGTCGAGAAATTTCGCAGGTTATATGCTTTATTTTTCAATAGATACAGTTCTTTCCTTTGATCGTTTTTCTCGATTCCATAAGCTAATATTTGATTTAGTGTAAATGCCTCCACGTGGCCCAAACGCTCCAGTACAAACTAGAGGTCGAATGCGTTTTTTGGCAAGAGAACATAGGCTTTTATGTCATTCTGTTGTTTTGGTAAATGATTAGAAGAGCGGACGCTCTGGCAAGACTGAACCCCACTTTCAGCAGTCTGATTTTGGAGTTTTATTTACAAAATAAAAACTTATCTACAATCTGCTCCATTCGTATCATAACATTAGTTATGTACACAATAAATATACATGGGCAACTTCATTGCTACGATAGGCTTCTCTGTTCAAGGGACAGCCGACCAAACAGAAGCATATCTTGTTGGTCATTCGTAGGTTGCAGTGAGACCGGGTTGTCTCGAATTGCACTATGGGATAGCTTTAGGGGCTGAAATTTGAACCAGCTTCCTGCGCTCACTCTTCACGCTCAAAGCATCTCACTCTTCAAGCTCACATCACGCTCACTCTTCGCGTTGAAGTCCCTAAAAAGCACCTATTCTCCAGGATTAGCGCGCTGAGACTTGCAACTCTTGCTTATCACCGCAAAAAGTCCTTTTTCGCACAATAATGGTGGTTTCTCCACAGGCTACCTGTTCTCTGAATGATTACCCTGAATAATTTCAAAGCCGACGAAGCGAATACTACACGGATTCGTATTCCTTCTGCCAGTCCTTATATTTATCCTTGAGCTGTCGTGCGGATGGCTTGGTGTGTTTCAACGCTGCTTCTACATCTTCTGTGCTCACGGGCTCAATTTCTAGTCTGGGCAGCGGAGTCACTCGTCCGTCCTCGTCCACTTAAATAAACGGGATAAAAATATTTTTTAAACTATTTTATTAACAGCCAAACCCTCTTCTCAAAGTAACATTATCCATCCCTACTTGCTGTTCGCAAAACTACACAAAGAAAAAAAAATTAACAACAACAAAAAAAGGAATTAAGACTGACAAACAACTAAGAGACGATCCTCTCTTGCAAACAATTTTATGCCCACCTGCTTGGTGACTTTCCAACAGATCAAATATTTTTCTCACTTTTCTCATGGCCGCTTCTTTACAAAGAAGTCTTATGTCTGACCCAGAGTATCCATCGGTGCGCTATTTTTTCTGCCCCTGCAACAATCGTGCACGACTCTATTAGGCTGCCGCCTCGCAGACTCGCGTCTTCGCGAGGCTGCGAGGCAGCAATTATTAACGCGTATTTAATAAACACCGCACAATTCCCATTAATTAGGATGTGGCCATGGCTTTGTGTCTTGTGTCTCTCTACACCGCAGAGGTTTCCGCTGGATATCCCAATAAAAAAAAAGCTGCAATAATCGAAAAATAGAAAGCGCGTTGAGGAAAGGGGTTTTGTGTGGTTTTCTTGTCGAATTTGGCCATTTAGAGATATGAATGAAACACCTCACCAACGGTGGAAAAGGTGTCGAAAAAGCTCACTTTCTAGACCAAAATGTTGGGGAAACAAGCCTCATCTGTTCATAACTTATTAAAAGTTTATAAATGAAGAAGCGGCGTGCATACAAAGAAAAGCAAACAGACCCAAACCTTTATGGTTGTTTCCGATGAAGTGCCAGCTTTAAGTTAGTGATTAACGTCGGGGGCACTCCCAAAAATGTCCTATACGGGGAGGCTCTGCCCGAAAGGGGTTTCAGGCTTCCGGTATATAAAAGGGTAGGGATTTCACTCACTGAAGTATACCAAAGGGGTGGGAAATCTGACATCTGGTCTGTAAAAGGCCCAACGGGTCTAAGGGATCCTACATTTTATGGCTGAAAAAAGTCTTGAAAACGTTCTGGTTTCGTGATTCATTCATATCTTGAATACATTGATTTAGAGCAGTTGTAAGGGATGCAACTTTCTAAATGAGGTTAGTGAAAAGGGGTACCATTTGTCTGATACAAATATACAAAAGGGAAACCTTTTCTGTTCAAAAATAGTATTAAAAAGGACAAGGGGTTGGACCTTGGGGCGGACCCTCCACGTATAAAACTTTTTTGAGCACCCCTCCCCCCCCCGGGCGGTGATTGACCTTGTTCCAAAAGATACGGAAAGAGGAATGACAGCCCGGAAGTTGTATTATTAAAACATGCGTAATACCAAAAAATTATGGAAGGCAATGACCACTGTGGTATGTAAAATCCACGCGCGAGATAAACACATAAGTAAGTTTTGTATTTAGGAAGACACAGTTCAAGCTAGGTGTGTCGTTAATTGACAAACCTTGTGGAAATCTTCCAAGAATGGTAAGTGGTTGCGTTCTTATCGTATTAAGCATTTTTTAACCAAATATGTTGCCAATTGAGTTGTATGCGATGCAGTGTGAAGAAAATTGTGATAAATAAGAAGGAAGATTGTGATACCTAAATTAAAGCCATTTTAATTATTGATTATCGGAAGTCTTTAATCGTCTTCATCATATTTCGAATAAAACATTTTGTTATATTTAGTCCCTACCTTGGCTGGGGCGACTGTGCTTGCGCTTCGGATGTAACAGAAGAGACTTAACAGCAACACCAACTTCATTAAAACATCCACAACACCACCGATTGCTCCAAACATTTGGTTCTTTGTTTCGACCACTTGCAGACCAACGAACGCGCTCAAAATGAAACAGCTGATTAACCGTGTCTGGTGAGCGTGAAAGCCAAACTCTAGAAACATCAATGACTCTACCTTTTTGATCCCTCAAGAATGACAAAAACAGAATGAATCTTCAAAGCAAAATATTTTTCCTTATAAGGAAATATCCATGAAAAAATAATTTAGGGCCGCAAAAAAATTGTCATGTTCAGGCTGAGATCGTAGACGGTGACGTATCTTTTTACAACGCCCTGCAGTAATTAAGGTTCCACAAAAATCCTTAAATAAAAATGATCGAGACCAGGCTCTATGAGCCCGCGAGACTGAGCAACCGACCCAAACACTTGTTTTCACTAAAACCGCTGGACGCCAACCTGATTGAGCTCATTGTTATCTAAGGTCTTCCTGTTGTCCAGATACCACCAGGTGGTGTGTGAGCACTACGATTGCGATGCATTGTGGATTCAAAATTTTCAAGATGGCGGCGAAGGTCGAGAAATTTCGCAGGTTATATGCTTTATTTTTCAATAGATACAGTTCTTTCCTTTGATCGTTTTTCTCGATTCCATAAGCTAATATTTGATTTAGTGTAAATGCCTCCACGTGGCCCAAACGCTCCAGTACGAACTAGCGGTCGAATGCGTTTTTTGGCAAGAGAACATAGGCTTTTATGTCATTCTGTTGTTTTGGTAAATGATTAGAAGAGCGGACGATCTGGCAAGACTGAACCCCACTTTCAACAGTCTGATTTTGGAGGTTTATTTACAAAATAAAAACTTATATACAATCTGCTCCATTCGTATCACAACATTAGTTATGTACACAATTAATATACATGGGCAACTTCATTGCTACGATAGGCTTCTCTGTTCAAAGGGACAGCCGACCAAACAGAAGCCTATCTTGTTGGTCATTCATTCATTGGTCATTCGTAGGTTGCAGTGAGACTGGGTTGTCTCGAATTGCACTATGGGATACTTTTAGGGGATGAAATTTGAACCAGCTTCCTACGTTCACTCTTCACGCTCAAAGCATCTCACTCTTCAAGCTCACATCACGCTCACTCTTCGCGTTGAAGTCCCTAAAAAGCACCTAATCTCTAGGATTAGTGCGCTGAGACTTACAACTCTTGCTTATTACCGCCAAAAGTCCTTTTTCGCACAATAATGGTGGTTTCTCCACAGGCTACCTGTTCTCTCAATGATTACCCTGAATTTCAAAGCCGACGAAGCGAATACTACACGGACTCATATTCCTTCTGCCAGTCCTTATATTTATCCTTGAGCTGTCGTGCGGATGGCTTGGTGTGTTTCAACGCTGCTTCTACATCTTCTGTGCTCACGGGCTCAATTTCTAGTCTGGGCAGCGGAGTCGCTCGTCCGTCCTCGTCCACTTAAATAAATGGGATAAAAATATTTTTAAAAATATTTTATCAACAGCCAAATCCTCGTCTCAAAGTAACATTATCCATCCCTACTTGCTGTTCGCAAAACTACACAAAGAAAAAAAAATTAACAACAACAAAAAAAGGAATTAAGACTGACAAACAACTAAGAGACGATCCTCTCTTGCAAACAATTTTATGCCCACCTGCTTGGTGACTTTCCAACAGATCAAATATTTTTCTCACTTTTCTCATGGCCGCTTCTTTACAAAGAAGTCTTATGTCTGACCCAGAGTATCCATCGGTGCGCTAAAAATAAGAGAGGTATTTGGAATTACGTATATAGCAAAGGTCACATTCAGGTTCTAATTTTCTAAAATTAGAATATGAGCTGATAAAAACTCCCCAAAGTAGTTATTCTGGATGAACCTCGCATTAGACTTGAATCTTATTCTGTGTAGAAATAATGAATGTCGCGGTGACTTGGTGCAAATTGACGCTCGTAAATTGATCCTGAATTTCTCTAATAAGCAATGCACAAACAAACAAGGTCACAGAAAGTTTAACTTATGGCAAAACATCCCTCTTACCTTTCAGCAGACGCCACTTATAGTCCATGGGCCCGACCAGATTTTCTTACCACTTCAGGGGAGAAATAGTGACATGTATCAGTTTAAAGACTAACTTAAGTTGCTTAAGATTTTTGATGATAGCAATTTTTAACGGGCAGCTTTATTATATTTTTTTGAAATCAAAAAAGGTGGAAAATAGCGGTCTATGAAAACCAGACCTTAAAGACAAAATAAACTGCCAGAGAAGAAACGATAAACATTGAACCTTCTAAAACAAAGAAAAAGATGAAATATGTTTTCTTTTATTCGATGCTACCAATAAAGAAAAAAAAATAACGTAAAAAAATTATTTTATAGCGATTTTAATTTCAGCTGCCTTTGTAATTATGTATTATGGGTAATCCAAGATGGCGGACAATCTCTCAGGTAAATCGTTGGTCAGGTTTTCTGGCTCTTTATAAGGAATATCCAGTTTGTCTTTGCCCTTGACAAACCGGAGGACAGACAGGGAGCAGTATACAAGATCAAATGCTGCGACTGCCAGGCTTCCTACATGGTGAAACCGGCAGAAACCTTAGCACGCGACTGACCGAACACAAACGCGCGACGAGGAATGGTGACGTCAACAATCACATTGCTGAGCACCATTTAAAGACGAAACATCAAATTGACTGGGACTCTGCGACGTGTTTAACGTATTCTACAGACTACTATCAACGTCTTACTTTAATGACTGTTTAAATATAATACATTGTACCAAAGATTCTGGTTACCTATCATCAGTGCAAGACTTATGGAAAACGCTTGTAAGGGCCGCCGAAATTTGGCAGTACGCAACAATTTTAGATCTCCCCTAAACACGTAATGGTTGGAAGTTCTTCTCCACCCACTACCACCGTAAATGCCGCAATATTTTTACTTTGAAAAGAGATCTTGAAAACATATGTAAAGACAGAATTCAATGCAATGAACCAGAATTATCAGAAAGAGGATCGTCTATTCGGGAACCCCCAACAAAAAGCACAACGTATAAACGAGTTTGCATTTTCTATGACAAAGTTAGTAAGTACGCTAAAGGCAAAGATGTGCGGGAAAAACTGATACAGTGCATTGATCTGCGTGCAGACGAAAATATCAGAAAGACTGCGTTGGCAAAGAAAGATAGCAAGTTATTAGCTATTTTGTCACGAGATTTGGTAGCAGCTGAGGCATGCTATCACGGAACTTGCTACAGAGGATACACCCGACCAAAGCCAGAAACAGGCACATCCTCGACTTTATCATTTACATCTCAGGATGACGAAAATGCCTGCACTGAGTCAGCAGTGTATGAGAAGCTTTCTGATTACGTCAGGAATAACGTGCTGGTGACGCCTAATCTAACAAGGCTCACTGATCTTACTCAAAGGATGATCTCCTACATGAAAGCTGGATCTGGGCATTAAGGAAACTAAAGTGTCCTCCAAGACACATCTTCGCAGGAAACTTGAAGTAGAGTTGGGGAGTTTATTACAGTTTGAAGACCTGCTTGGTAACAAAAGAGTACTAGTGTTTATGATCCCTGCCAACTTGTCACGACTTCAGTTGGCTAAAGAAGTAGCGCGATTACCTCATCTGCAGTGCGAAGGTCAAGCATCATTAATAGATGACATCCGACGAGTTGCTCTAGAACTTCGGAAAGCCATATGTTGCAAAGAAAACGAGATGTCGTGGCCTCCTAAGCCTTCCCAGCTCATTGAAGAGGAAAAAAATCTCCCTGATGAAGTTAGAGTGTTTCTAGCTACCTTGTTAACAGGAAATTGAAAGTATACAGAAGAAACATGCTCATCAAAAGTCCAGGGCCTTGTCAATTCGTTTGGGCAGGACATGGTATTTGGAGTGACTGGCGGCCGAAAGATGCCTCCAAAACACATATTACTACCCTATGCTGTCAAGACCCATCCTCGGAGACCCAGGGGCAGATAAACGGGCCGAGGGAAAGTATAAACGGGCGGAAAAATGTGGCACGAAGAAAAGGAAAGAACGGCGAGAAGAGCCCCTGGGGACAATGTCTTACCAGACCAGTTCCAAACGGTCGCCGCCGTTCCGGCTTCTGATTGGTACCAGAAAAACACAAGTTTTCTGGCACCAATCAGAAGACAGAACGGCGGCGACCGTTTGGAACTGGTCTGGTAAGACATTGTCCCCAGGGGCTCTTCTCGCCGTTCTTTACTTTTCTTCGTGCCGCATCTTTTCGGCCGTTTAGACTTTCCCTCGTCCCCACTATCTGCCCCTGGGTCTCCGAGGATGGTCAAGACCTTGAAAAATAATGTAGAACTAATTCAGATCTTGAATCGATGCGGACATGGGGTAGCCTACTCACAAATCGAAGAATTGAACACAGCGTTGTGTCTTCAGAAAATGGCAATGACCTCGGAAAATGCCGTCCCGTTTCCTGACAACATCAAGCCTCACATCAGTACATCGCTTGCCTGGGACAACATCGACAGATTAGAGGAAACACTCTCAGGTGGGGGGAAGTCACATAGAGTTAATGGCATCGCAATACAAGCTCGACAAGTGTCTTCGAACGTCATGATTCTAGAATTTGCAAATGTCTTCCTGGTGTGCATGCTTTCACTGGATGTGATAGTGTCAGCGCATTTTCTGGAAAAGGAAAACTGACGGCGTTAAAGTTAGGAAAGCGACGTCCTGCATACCAAGAGTTATTCCAACAGCTTGGCGCGTGTAATGGAAATTATCGGATGAGCTATTTGTGCGTCTCCAAGAGTTCACATACCTGACGTACACGTCAAATCCTGGAACTAAGGATGTTAACGTGTTGCGTTACCGTCTCTTCTGCGCCAGGAAAGGAGAGTTAGAGTTGCACCAGCTTCCACCATGCCAGGACACGTTACGAAAGCATTGTGAGAGGGCAAACTATCAGTCAGCAATATGGCGCAGGAGTCTTCAAAGTTCGCCCCAGATCCCCTTGCCCATTGGCTCTGGATTGCATCTAAAGGATTGTAAATTGACTATTGACTGGATGAGTGGGGAACCGGCACCCAAGGCTGTGTTTGAGCTCCTATCCGGCCAGAGTAAGAGAGTCTACCAGTTGCCAAGCTGTACCTGTCTCGCTAACGGATTGCATTGCAATGACATTTGTCGGTTACAGGGGTGTACAAACCAGCCAGAGGAAGCTACCGAGGATTTAACTGCAGATGACTCTGATGTTGAATGTGAAGATGATTGAGCTGTAGTACTCTAAAGGTTCTCGCCTTGACATAATCTCTTAGTGTTGTAGGGTAGTGGACAAAGTTATTTGCAAAATACCAGACAGGAAAGTAAAAATGGTCTTTAAGTGTTGAGGTTTTTAGCAATGTTACTGCGTATCACTAAATAAACTAAAGCTCAAGCACTAGTCTGCTGCTCTCGTAATATTTATTTCGATGGAAATGCGACTAAAACGTTGATTATTTAACACAAATATTCGATGCAAAGTGTACATTGACACATTAAAGCAAGTAGCTGACAATGTTTCCTGAGGGAGTTCAACATTCCTACGTATGAAAACACTTTTAGCCCACGTGACTGTTGCTATGGCAACCAAGGTATATTAATTCTCGTTAATTTTCTTAGTCAAATGTTATCATAATGCAATTTCGCATTTAAATCAACAGTAGAGCACAAAATATGTATGGAACCACTGTTCATATCAACCACTTTTAGATAGTTAGCTCATATTTTGTTTCAGTGATTACGTCAGTTAATCACGTGATTTTGATATTTAAGCTGGCCATATATCATTGCTATCATATATCAAACTAAAGTATAGGAATTGAGGTTTAAGAAAATGTATGATAGCACTGCTCCCTTTAAGTGGTAAGAAATTTCAAATTTTTAGGTCTTGGCCCATGGACTATTAAACAAAATGGTTTTTTTTTCTGACAATAGACGTGAACAAGGTGTGATTGATAGGTAATGTTTCGCTGGTTTTTGTTTTGTTTGTTTGTGTTTTTGCTTTTTTAGTAGTCTACAAATGAGCACCTAGAGTAGTTTTGCAGTTGACTCAGTTTTGCACCACTTAACTAGATGACTGGCTAAAAAAATTCGCGACGCTTTTTCGACCAGTCAGAAAAGACACCAAATCCACGCTGATCCAATGCGTCCAATAGCTATTCCGTGCTTCGCGCCGGGTATGTTTATTATGTGTACGACTCCAGCACTGATTGGTTCATAAAATAATTTTCTCCCAATAGACCATTTCTGAGTTCCAAAAACTCTCACTTTCAAAACGAGGCTACGCGCAAAGCCTTTCTGCTGAAAATGAGTTATTTGCTTGAACAATTATTCTCAAATCAGTGGCTTCACACGTAGCCTCGCTTTGAAACAGAGGCTTGGGCAACTTGGAAAAGGCCTATTTGTGGCATAAGGGTGAATCATACCGTTGCCAGTTGTTCATAGTCGATCTCGGTTTTAATCTCAACACTTCCCTCTACTGAGTGTATCAGAGGCGGTAGGTATTGCTTCAACATCGCTTCCCTGGCTTCCGGGTTAGGAAGATCAACCAGAATTCGTTTTTCTAGTCGACGTAGCATGGCGTGGTCCAGTTCCCTGAAATATACAAAAAAAATGATTTCAACTCTGTTCACGACTTTCACTGGGAATTTTGGTGACAAAAATAATGGCACCTCAGTTTGAGGAGGGGTGTCTTTTCATGTACAATTAGATAGGAAAGAGCAAAATTGTCTCGGATCAATTATAATGAACAGCACGATTGTTAAAAACAACCGGCTGCCGGTGAAAATTGCCTCCTACTTGGTTTGTATCGGCCGGCTACTCTGCTTGGCATTTTTTTTACGGATGACATTTTTTGAATAAAACCGCTTGCTTTGACAACTCAGCCGTCTACTTTAAAACTTTTTGATAACCCCGTGAACGACTGGGGAATTTTAAGTTCTGAATAAATCAAAAATACTAAGTATTCGAACAACGTTGTTGCAGTAATTTTCCATGGTACTATTTTTACATTCCGTAAGGTTTGACAGTGGTAAACGTTTTACGGACAATTTTTGTAATAATTATTTCCTTATCTATTATACATCAATAATACTTTACCAAGGCAGGTTGGAGGCAGCCAACAGAAACACTAGATCATCTGATCGCGCTAATCCATCCATCTGTACTAACAGCTCTGTTTTCATGCGTTTGCTTCCCTCGTGCTCACTCCTTCAAGGCAATCAAATTACACAAGAGCTTTTTATTCAGTCCCTGCCTTACCCATAATGAGTTTCTGGAGTTATTTAAGTGTACGTACACGAATTACATTATGGTTCCCTAATCTCCAACCCAGATCTTCCAGCGTGAGAAAGAGTGAGACCTGGGTACGAATTTAATGCCCTCCTCGTTCTCGGGAGGAAGAGAACCCTGGAAACAAGGTCTCATTTTACGCGGCGGACTGTTCACAGTCCTCTATTTTTTATTATTTTGTGATAGTTTCCAGCGTGGACCCTGTAATTTCTAAAATAAGAAGACATGGAGTTGCAGCCTACCCTCCTCCTCCTGTTCCTCTCTGACTCATCAAGGACTCCAGTTCGTCAAGGAATATTGTGGAGGGCGCGTGGAAGCGGGCAAGCTCAAATAAAACCTGCAAAGTACACAGGTGGAAAACTAATGTTGGCTGTATATTGGACATTGTCTTGCATGATCAAAAGCATGATAATCATCATCGTCGTCGTCGTTATCAATGTCCACATAATCATCACCAGTACAATTGCTAAAAAACTAGAAGTCCAAAGACTATTGCAAACCTGATCACAAATAACGTGTATTGCTTTTTCGTAACAATATTTCGGCTGGCCCTACCAGCCTTTTACAGGTTTGCAGATGTTACTGAAATCATGATGGGAATTACAATATTATATAGATGGAGAAAGTCGCAATAAAAATGGAGGCGAGGGAGTCACATTTGATAGGTAAGGCCATGACTCTTGAATCTAATGGCCTAAACCACCGTGACGAATTATTGTAATCCATATCCCTGTTAGTTTTTCTTTTCTTTTTTATGTTGAACGTCATTTCCGCCTCTCCCTTTTAAAAACTTTTTATTGCGACATTGTCCATCTATATAATAATGTTTACAATTCCTATCATAAATCCAGTAACATCTGTAAACCTGAAGAAGGCTGGTATGGCCAGCCAAATATTGTTATGAAAAAGCAATACACGTTGTTATGATCGGCTTTGAAGTAGTCTTTGGACTTCTGGTTTTTAGTTCTTAATATTTTAGCTGATTAGATCGCTTTTATGGAGATCCAACGTTCACGACCCGCAGGATCTTCGTCCACGGTTTTTGCAGTTAATTTCTTTACCATTGCTAACATCAAGATCTTCATTGTCATCTTCCTCATCCACCTTCACCTCGTCATCATTACCATCATCGTCATCTTTACTCTTGTCATAATTGTCGATATCCACCTTCTTCATTCTCATCTTTCTCTTTCTCCTTCACAACACTACTATCACCAACATCATTGTTATTATCGTCAACAACAACACTATCTTCCTCTTCGTTTTCCTCCACCACCTCCTCAACCTCCTCTTTACTTAACCACCACCACCACCACCACAATCATTATCATCGTCATCATCATCATTATCATTATCATCATCGCCATCAACATCATCACCACCATCACCATCTTCAACATTTTCATCTTCCACCGCCTCATCACCATATCCCCCGCCACCATCCCCCTTCTCCGCCTCCGCCTCCTTCCCCTTCTCTTCATCATCATATTTTTCATCTTCTGCTTCCACTTTCATGTCTTCATCACAATCGTCATCTTCGTCCTCATTCTCGTGATTGACGCTCCTGATCATCATCATTATCGCCACCAACAGGAGCCGAGCCCATAAGTATGGGCTCCTGTCACCAATTAATGCTATCGTCATCAATAGTCGCCGCAACATGGCAGCCTGCAACACAGACGAGACTAAACTCTGGTTTAGTCAGTCTGCGAAACGGTGCCAAAATCCTTGGTCTGGGTCCCCACTTGAGTACAAGGATTTGAGTACGTACCAGGATTGGCCTGTTAAAAAAGCCATTGTCGATTTCCCAATCAGGTTGAAGAGAAATTCGAAACACACTTCCGGTAATTCGTTGAGTCCGTTGCGGGCCCAGAACAAGCATTTCGGCGCTGCTTCGCAGACGTTACTAACCGGGGTTTAATTACGTCCGCGATGCAGGCTACAACGTTGCGGACAACGATGTATTAATATTGATATACAATGTGCTTAATACACAGTACAAGCAATATAAACATACCCTGACAAGTTTCTCTGAGTCCCCTCTCCATTTGCTGACAATAGAAGACGCCGAAATGTTGAAGAAGGTTGTCTTGCATTCGGTAGCTACTGCTTTAGCCAATAATGTCTTTCCAGTGCCTTTGATAAATGGCATCAAGGCATGCATAGTGAGAAAATAGTCTCCAAAAACGTTGGAAAGAATAAGGACGTATGCAATGGGCTGAAATTAGGTTTGATGCATGACTGATCGAAAACCAAATTAAAAGTTTTTTTTCTTTATTTGGCATCTTTCGAGGCGTAATTCAACGTCAAATGTGCAGTTGTTTAGAATTAAACAGTTGATGTGGTACCTGGTCCCAACTTGAATAGGCCCAATGACCGGCATTTTTTATTAGCTTCAACTTTAATAGATTATGTCACAGGAAACCGATTGGAAAATGGTACTTGTAGCTTTAAATTGCCAGGAGTTAGTCAAAATGCAGATTTCCTGGTTGGGTGGGAAATTAGTTGCGAACCTGTTGACGTAACTTGAGAGAAGTCAAACCTTACCTGGAGGTCCATACAGTAAAAGACCCTTCCATGGAGACAAAATACCGGTGAATAGTTGAGGATACTGAAAACCAAAGACAAAGATAACAACATAAAATTTCGACAACCCCAAAAAGCATAAACCTCATTCACTACGTCCCAAGCTAACACAGCAATTTAAAAAATGTCGCTTAATGAAATTATTCGACCCCGAAACGTGGTGTTGCAAATCTTTGATTTCTCCTTAATGAAATTTAGGCTAAATTAAACTGAACACATGGCTGACCAGCTGTCTCTTATCGGAGATATACGGATGCACTCTCATTGCGCCGCAGGATCTAACGAGTTTTTACAGCCTTCCTCTTTAGGTGAGGCCTCGTTGCCTGTCGTGACTCGTATGTTCTGCTCCCTACCCTC